TTACGTTCAAAATAACTACAAAATGTCATGCCTTTGAAAAATAAAGAGAACAACAGAATGCGCTGCTTTAGCACGTCTCGGTCTCCTTGAGCATCTTTCCGGCGCATGCCACAAACATGAACCACAGCGAATACTCGTCTTTTAAAAGGCTTCATTTAGATTATTTGACGTTAGTCACTTTGGAATAAATCACAGTAATAAATCACAGTAAATCACAGTAGGCCTATGTATCATGATAAAAAAAAGCGACTTTACGAAAAAGGAGCCGTTTTCAAATTTTTCTACTTTCAATATTAAATCAAAAAACGAATGATCGAATGATACACGGATTTATGTGGACATTGTAACTTGTTTGTCACCAGGCTTTTTGGTCCTCAATGATTCTCAATAAGAGTACACATTTTAATAATTTTTAAAATTCAGTTTTAAGGGCTGCCATAGAATTCAATGCACAAAGCAGAATAATTATTTTTACAGATGCAAGAAGGAATTGTAGCCATGCAGACATAAAACTATTCATATTTAAGCACTTAGCCCATGCTTCGCCTCTGTGTAATTAAAAGTTAGAACCATGACAAACAGAAACCACTGTTAGACTGATATAACCAGCCTTGGATCATGTCGGCACACGTGTTCATTTAAAGCAGAGACAGCTAGCATGAACTTTCTTTCACCCTGTAGGTTGTCCAGGGTCTTGAACGCTTCTGCTCTGGTTTGTAGAAAGACATTTATATCAGTTTATGACCTTTGTAAATCAGATGTTCAGCCGACATGACCATGAGTGCTCAGTGTTAGTAAAGCCATATGGGTCCTTGGGACTGCAGCTGGATCAGAACGGAGCAAAAAGAGATTCAGCAAGGCTGCCAGACGCTCAAAAGAAAAACACAGTTGATAGATCCCTGTTCAAAACAAGCAAGCAGTTTCAAGTGCGCTCTGCGAACAACATTAGCATAAGTGAACATGAATCTATTTATGCATATTTCAGTCTGAGTTCACGTCTTGATGCTGTCATGCTTAGGCCTGAAACATACTCTTCGCAAATACACAAATGCAGACATGAATGCTTGGCCAGATCATTGAAACATATTAAAAGGGATAGTTCACCCAAAAATGACAATAGAAAAAGACAGTTTATGGATGATGGCCATTGTAGTTCCCCTTGTGGCAATGCGGAGAGAACATTGACAGTAGTCCATGCATTAGACACCATGAACTAACAATGATCTTTTTTTTTTTACATCATTAATTAGTCTAGGATCCAAGATTGATAAATGCTGTAAAAGTATTAGTCCACTTTCAGTCTCATTGTGTTAATAGTCATCCATTTACAAACTATTCTATCTCAGACTTTCAGGAATTTTTTTTTTTTTTTGTAAATAAAGATTTAAAGAGATTAGTAGTGGTAAAGTTGAAGTCATGTGACTGTGGCATAATTTGTTTATAGCCTAAATTTAGCTTTTACTTCTGGTGACTGAATTTAACCTCATGTTAAATGAGCGTTTGCATACTTGTATAGTGTATGTTTTTGGGTGTTAAACACATGCACTACATGCAAGACTGGGCACATAAGACTGGGTCAAGTATATAAGATCTGAAAATCAGCCACAGCTCCAGCGTTTACCTATGGCATTCATGCCACACCCAGGAGTGGCGACCGAGCCGTGGCCGGAAGTCAGCCTTGCCAATGTTGTGTATCTCAGAGGAGAAGCGCAGCAGGCGGCGGTGGCCATACGGCCAGTTGGCTTGAGCAGCTGATTTGGCCAGGCAGTTCTCCTCTGCTGCGCAGTACAGCAAGTGCAGGGGTCGGTCCTCGATGTAAACCGTCTGCTCCACCAGTGGAGCGTTCAGCACAAGGTCCGAAGCCGCTAGGGATTGTGGGAGAAAGGGACCAATATTACACTCAAATATGATGGAATAACATTAGCTATTGCTTTATCCCTTCTCTTGCTAACAAACTTTTGTTTACAGACTCGCATATGACTTACTGTCTGAGCAAATGATGCCAGCAGAAAACTGCGCTCCCGCTCTTTTGCAGCTGACGACAGAATGATGCTGACAGTCGGTCAGAGTCATTTCATTTCCTTTACACTTCACTCCGCTCAGAACCATCTCCGTCACATTACTGCTGTCCCAGTACCAAGTTTCCTTTACACAGAGGAGAGCTCATCAGTAGATGAATGAATGTAGTAAATTACTGAACACGGATAAAGCAAGAAACCTAATACAAAGTATGTCAGCAGCAGACATTAATTAAATGTGAATCAAACAGAATAGCAAAAAATAAATAAAAATAAGGCAAATGCTTCCATTGGTCAAACAAACAGATAGTCCTGCCCCAAATTTACACTATTGGTTGAATGTTGCTGGTTGCCATATTCTAAGCCACAATGTTTACAAGTATATTAAATAGATTGCTTATAGTTGTTTATCTTTGCACATAAAACTAGGATAGGAAAAAAAACTCATCGAAAATTTTTAAAATTTCATTCATTAAGTAAAGAAAAGATATACTGTTTGACAGCTAATAAATAAATATAAAATTCAAAAATTTTTTAATTAAAATTTTCTTAAAATAAACAGGACACACCTCAATGTTTTAGTAACCTTATCTGGACTATTTTAACTTCCACTGCTAATATGTTTGTTAAGTGGGAAAATAATTCCACAAAAATGTAGCCTCTAGCTGATTTTTTTATTTATTTATTTATTTTATTTTTTTATTTTTTTTCTACACCGTTCAGAAATTTGGGGTTTGTAAGATCTTTTTTGTGTTTTTGAAAAAAAAGGTCTCTCAAGTTAAGCAAGGCTGCATTTAATTAATCAAAAATACAGTAAAAACGGTAATATTTTGAACTGCTATTACATTATAAATATATATTATAAATATTATTTTCTGTGTTAATATTTTTAAAATATAATTTATTCATGTGATGCAAATCTGATTTTTCAGCATCATTACTCCAGTCTTCAGTGTCACATGATCCTTCAGTAATCATTTCAATAAGCTGATTTGCTGCTCAAGATACATTTCGAATTATTATCAACGTAGAAAACAGTTGTGCTGCTTAATATTTTTGTGAAAACATAATATTCAAGGATTCTTCAATATAGCATTTATTTGAAATAAAAACCTTTTGTGACACTAAAATAGTTTTTACTGCCACCTTTGATCAATTTAATGCATTTTTCTAAATAAGTTTTTTTTTTTTTTTATTATTATTATTGGCCCCAAACATTTGAACGGTAGTGTACACTTCACATATTAATAATAATTCACATTTTAGGCTAACATGGGATTTCACAACCAATCAATCTGCAGTGCTTGATTAGCCAGTCCCATAGCACCTTTCTTACTCACAGTGATAGCATGCAGGCAGTATCTGAGGCCTAACTGTCTGCACGCCACCATGGCTTCTCTTGTGGTCCAGTTGTCACTGCATACAGTTCCCCACCTGGACTTGACCTGAACCTCCACGCGCCCCTCATGATCTGTCCTGCCCCCCACTATACAGATCTGCAGACAGACCCCCACTGCAAGGGCTTAGCATGCAAAGTAGGCTAAATACAGTGCTAACCATGTATGAGCCAGCTATGCTAATGCTTCAATTACAAAGTTCTATACTATCTCATACTATCAAGTAGTCATTTTAGTGGATTATTGTGATCATTCGCAAAGGCTAGAGAGTATTGTATTTGTAAGTGAATGCATTGCAGGGATAAGAGGTGTTAGCATTATGCCCCGTTCACACTGTTTTGAAAATGTATAGAGTATTTTCATGACACGTCATTAATCCGCGAGTCGGCCATATTGGTGGCACTGAACCGAACAGAACTTGCAAATTTTGCTGATTATTGCTGTTTAAAATGGTCAATTATTGTTGTGTTTTGGGCTTTAATTGGTCAGACCGGAAAAAACATCTGGAGTGCTAAAGACTCAGAAGTTATCAAGGAGAAGAGTGCAAAACCTGAGGAAAGAAGGCATTTGTGGTTGGCCAAATTGAACCAGGATTTCCAGGGCAAGAATCTTGACAACATTCGTGTTTGTTCTTATCATTTCATTTCAGGTAGGTGAAATATTAGGGTAATATCTTAACCATATTAACCTTTGTTTGTCAAAATATTTCACCATTTCCTGCTTATTGATTTCTTGCTTAAGTCCTTCTCTATATGATTTAGCATCTTCCACAAGTTTTTTCCCTGGATTAGACATCATAAATTAGTAGGGCTGGGTAAAAAATATCGATATCTCGATATTAATCGATTCTCTTTTTTACGGAACGATATCGATTCTTAAATCCCAAGAATCGATTAGTCTAGCCTTTTTTAAGTTAATGGACGGAACATTGAAGGACACTTCCCATCCAATAAATCGCAATAAGCATTGTGCTTTGGTGCTTTTAATATGAAACAAAGTCCCAGGTTTCAATTTATGTCCATTGTATTGCAGTATTCAAACAATAAATGTCGTTTTGGCGCTGTTTAATGTGGAGTGACAGATCGCTGTAGCGCCTCATTTCAACAGACGCGGCAGAGCGCACGTGACCTAGTCATCTCCTCCACATTAATACCAGCTTCAGCACAAAATAAACATGACTAAACATCCGAAGGTAAGTTAAAAGAAAGAGTACAACTTTACAATCTGTATCCTGTCTCATGTAATCGCTCAATCAGTGTTTCCGCCGCACAAAGACGTCAATATAAAGTTGACATTAGACATTAGTCAGCCAGAAAAGTACAAATAAACTGTACAGAGGGATATTTTGCTAAATATATGCACCATATAACATATTCATTATAATTTTTACTGTTCTTATGTTTAATTTATGTTTGAATAAATCCATCATTTTTTTATGACAGCCACCATTTAAATTTGTATATTTAAAGAAAAAAAACGAATTGAAGTAGAAATATTATTATGTAATTGTATGTGCAAGCCATGCTGTTGTTTACATCCAAGTATCTCCAATATGGCTACGTATCCGGGTAACTGACCAAACCATGATGTAGGTGCAAATGCTCTATTGTTATGGTAATCAATTGAAAACTTCCTGTCAGTGTGAACGCCTACACTGCAAAAAAATAAAATAAAAGAAAAATTTATCTTGTTGTTCAGTGCAAATATCTAAACATTCCTAAATCAGGATATTAATCTGAGAAGCAAAATTACTAATATTAAGTCTTATTTTCTGAAACGATTATCAAAATTAAGTTAAAGGTGCCATAGAATGGAAAACTGTATTTACCTTGGCATAGTTGAATAATAACAGTTCTGTACATGGAAATGACATACAGTTCTGCAGGTATTGTGAAGAAACAAGCGAGGATAATAGCGAAAATGGCAGATCATGGAAATAAACGTTATGTTCCAGGCTGTGCAGGGGATGTGATGTGCAGGGATGGGTTGGTGTCTGTTCAGAAAGTCACGGAAAACAAATAACGCGAGCCACTAAAGGGACATGGTTAGCTGCTTGCTAGCGGTAGCCTGTTACATTACAGTACATAAGATTTCACTTACCACATAAACAGAGTAAGGAGAGATGACTGAGGATGATGGCGAATGATTTACAGATCCTGTCACTGACAAGCATCTGATCTTGTAAAATGTGTGGTAAGTACTGCCGCTGTAGTTTACACAGAGCACGTGCGATCGCAAATCTCGAAAGTGAAAGTAAAGCGATCGTGCATTCGAAAGCAGTTTCAATGCCCCGCATATTAATAGCGGCTCACTGATGTCCGCATTTTATATACAGTATAATTACCCAACGATATAACTGCGAGAGACACTATTGAAATGTATATTTTCCCTGTGTTTCCTTCCTGCTATGTGAGCTACTGAAATGAGCCGCACTGTGAAACAGCCAATCAGAGCAGAGCTCAACATTATTATTCATGACCCTTCCAAATAAGGTAAAAACAGACCATTTCATTCTAGGGACAAATCCTTGGGTTGTAAATGGACATGTAAAACCGTTTCTGGAGATTTTTTGCCCTTACCTAAGCCACATACCTTCTATGTAGATATCAGAGAACAATTTAAAATATTGTATCAATGCATTCTATGGCACCTTTAATGAGTTTAAATTTAGTTTATGCCAATGCCTTCTTTTCCCTTTGAAAGTTTATTTTTCTGACCCCATTGGCAGATTTTTTTGTTTTAAGATTAAACTTAATTTTAATACAATTTAACAAAACAAGACTTGATATCATTAATGTCATTTTGCCTCTTAAGTGAATATATCTTTATTTAAGATTGTTTAGATATTTGTAATGGGAAAACAAAAAAAAATACTGATGAACAGAAATAATTGTTTGCGGTGTATTTTAGCTGTGGCAAACCTATGCACAGAGCTGGGTAGTAACTAATTACATGTAATCTGGATTACGTAATCAGATTCCAAAAATGAAGTACCTGTAATTAGATGAAATTACATTATGAAATACTCAGACTAGAGGAATCAGACTACAGTTACTTTTTTATTGATTACATGATTACACATTGTTCAAACAAACTAGCAGTAAACAAATAAAATATTTCATTTTTTTAGTAAGTGTTTTATTTTGGTTGATGTTATTTTCAAAAGCCTTAATTTAATTTTACATTTTTATGATTTAATTAATTATTAGTTTTCGAACCCCTTGCAGTTCCTTCACGAACCCCAGTTGGGAAACCCTGATAATGTAATGTTTAATGCACTTTCGTTTGCAAAAAGAATATATTTTCTTACTCTTTTTTTTTATTTTTTTTATATATATATCAATATGGTACCATTTTTATTATGTAATTTGGAATCAGTAACGGACTACAATTTGTAAGTAATCTACCCAGCTTTGCTAATGCATGAAGGCATGAAGAAAAAACCTTGTCACTGCTAATTAAAAGCATGTGTATGTACGTGTAAACAATAACTTTCATGCCTAGTTACATAACACAAAATAGTTTTCATGGATCAGCCTACCTTCCTTTACTACTTTCAAGAAGCAATCTTTTCTGTTCAGATGCTAAACTCATTCAGCAATCTTGTGAATTCAAAGTCTGCTCAGAATTTGTGCCCACAGAAAGTTCAGCAGAAACACACATCAATCGTAAAGATTTGTTCCAGATTTTCCCACATAATCAACACAGAAAATGTGGAAAGCGTGCAGATTCTGGGTCTGGGTCTACTTATTATTCGTACACTGCAGGTTAAAAACTGTGCCAAAACATGCTGTCACCACTTGATCTGTTGGAACTGCCTAAAAACATAATTTTCAGATTTTGAAAACCCTTGCAACAAATTGTCTGTCTGTCTAGCTATCTCTTTACGGTCACACATTTCAACCCTCTGATTGCTCTGTGTCTCTGTAACTCTGACCTTTGTAAATACAGATTTTCATATGGTGCTTGAGATGCGGTTTCTGTGCACCCCCCCCAAAATTCATTCACCTATTTATCTATCATACTGTATGTGTGTGCATGTGTTGTATGATATACAGCGGTTATCTTACTCTCAGGCCACTGCTGGCATGTCCCAACCCCAGCTGTCTGCACACTACCATGGCCTCCCGAGACGTCCATCCGTCCCCGCAGACCAAACCCCAGTCCCTCACCCCACTGCCTGTAGAAAGCAGCAGCTCAACCCTCCCTTCCAACTGCGTTCGACCCCCTGTCAGGCGGATCTGTGATGGGTTACAAAGCAAGCATGAGAAAGAATTAAAAGACTTAAGGACCTTGACTTTGATCATTTAACCTGATAAGCAGCGCTGATCTAGGGCTGTGAGAACTTGATTTTACCATGCATTGCATCACCTATTTGAATAAAAACATGCTCGTTTTAAGTGACTACAGATTTTGGTGGTGCAATGCTTTAGTTAGGATCAGCCTTGAAAAGCATTGTTAGTTTTCATAGCTGAGCAAGGAAAAACTTTTGCACAATGCACAAAAATGCACATAAGCGTTATGTTAGCTGCATAGGAAGGCACTTTGATGAGAGCCTTAAAGGTTTTCTGTGTGTTGACTCGTACATCAGAGACAATTCTGGTTAAGTATATTAATTGTTAAATGTTGAATAAAAGCCAATTTGAGGCAGTTTTTTCTCCAAACACATTATAGTTTACTTTAGCACTGGAATCATCATGTATGTGTCTGACCGATTTCTCAAAGCCCATGTAGGGGATGTTGCAGATGACGGAGGCGTCCTCCATGTGTTTGCAGTCTTCAGCAGTGATGCTCTTATGAGGACAGTCCCACAGGCTCTTCTCATCACCACGACACTGAACTTCATTCATGTAGATGGGACCCATACCTATGGACAAGAGATCATAACAGTTTTTGAATGGGGAGCATATCTGTATGGATCATGGATCAACTATGATCGGCTGAAGACCTACTATCTATTAGTTATATGGAAGCCCACCTTGGCCCATTCGTGCTCCGGTCAGAGCCTCTTTAGCAGTGCCAAAGCCCACCTCTCTACACACCACACTGGCGGACTGCAGGTTCCAGTGGTCGTCACACACCGTACCCCACTCACTCCCCTTTAGGACCTCCACACGACCCTCACCTGTCTTTGCCCCGCCCTTCAGACGCACCTGAGACTGGAGAATGAGAAGGAGCATGGTCACTGGAAGCCATAATGCAGGTGTTCTTTGTTATACTGTTGTTATTACCTTCATAAATCTTAATGATTTGAAATCAGTTATTAAAATTAGTTTTATCTGATCACCATTGGATTCAGCTTGACTCTGCGAGCTCTGCCCTGTGTGAACAGCAGCCCGGGCACGAAAAACAGAAAAAAAACCCAAAAAAAAAAAAAAAAAACATTATTTAGTGCATACACACATGCATACAAAGTTCTGTCATGAAACTAGATCAGCACAAGCCGATAGGTCTAACTCAGTCTGACATAATGATATCATTATTCACATGGCGCAGCTGATTGGATTCTTTCGCATCAGCAGCCAATGAGCTTGCTTCTCAACATTCAAATACTCAGCTAGTGTTTGCTGTAGCAGTTTCAGCATGCTTCAGAAACCCTCCACCTTCCCCAGCTCCACCTGTATAGATCTGCTATGGGGTGATTAATGTATTTTACATATAGGGGTTATTTTATAAATATTATATGTGCCGCAGCAGTTTTTCTTGCATGCTCACAGAAGCATGTCTGTGGATGTATTGGCAGTAGCAAGTCTTGGTACTTGGTACTTGCAGCAGCATTGCAGATCTATTCCGCCAAGACCAAACACATTAACATTGTCATGTACATTACCATGCTAAACTCTCTGAGAGTTGTCAAGACAGAAATAGTTTTTTTTTGTATTGCGGTAATGAATATGGGGGGGGGGGGGTTAATTTTCTTGTAAAAGATAATCTCTTATTTCTTTCTATTATCTGATGAAATATGACCCAGACATGTTCTTGACAGCTTTCCAAAAATTCACCCGCAGCATGTCTAGCTCACACTGTGGTATTTGCTTTATGAAAGGCTAGACTTTTACATTGGTTATCCAGATTTATGACACGTTCTAGACTCTCATGCAGGCGATGACATGACCATGAGAAATCTGGTATGGAGTAATATTACTGTAGTGAGTGACGGTTGAGTCACTGAGGTTTTATCACACTCCTGAGAGAGAGGATACTTTCCGCTCACGTGTGTGTGTGTGTGTTACATATTCGTTCCAGAGCAAAGCAATCTGTCCAATTAAATGATCGAATAAAAAAAAACTAATAAAATATTGGAGAATAAGATCTATGTACATTGGCCCCAAAAAGTATTTACACGCTTACAAATGTCTGAATGTCCTTGCATAACACAATATAAAACCAAGTAAGCAAACAAATAATTTCACTTTTTTTTAAACTGAATTTCTCATCTGAGAAGTGTAAGATATCCACAGTCTTCTGAATGTGCAGAGTGAGCTATTTCTGAAGTGTATCTAGCCAAGCACTTATGGCACAAACCTGATATGAATGTCATAATTACAAAGATGAAGAGAAGTACAGTATTTTACACATTTCTTTTCAGTAAATTGTCTGAGCCCACAATCATTTAAAAGCAATGGAAAAGTTAAATGGCATCTTTTTCATCCACTGAAGATTACTTGTGTTTAGTCAGCTGGTAGACTTTAATATTAAGCAACATTAAGTGTAAATAAAATGGCCTTCTGTCAAGAGAGGATTTTTCATCGGTCAGAATGAAGGAACAGCCAGCAGGAGTGTGTTTTTGGAGCTTAATTTCAGCGTGCTGAGGACTTGAGCTCATGTCTAAGGAGGTATGAGTCACTCATTCAGTTTAATACACACGCAGAGAGCTCATTGGTTGAAATCATAGCTATTCTCTCAAACAATCAGGATGCACATGTGAATTCTCAGATGCTTACTTGTTTTTCTGTCCCATCACAGACTGCTTACATTTCACCATCTGCTGTGAATCGGAGTAAGTGTTTCAGAGTTCAGATGTGGATGATTGTTCCAATGCAGATGGAGGAGAGAAGCCAAACAAGCAAAGCAGAACAAAGCAATGCAATCACATTCAGCCTTATTATAGAATCATCAAAAACTTGCACAAGCTGGGGTGTATTGGGTGGTTGCCAGAGCATTGCCTCTAAGGTGTTCAGAGTGGTATTTAGCGTGTTTCTATGCAGTTGTTATTGCGTTGCTAGGTGTTTGCATAGGCGGAAATCCCGGGGGGGTCGGGACAGGACCAGCTAAAAATATGATTAAAAACCACGCTGTGTATTGTAAATAACAATTTTTTTATACTTTAAATAACTTTGTAAATAGTAAAATAACACAAACGGGGCAAAAATGCATTTTAAGTCCGGTGAGCGAGAACAAAGTCAATAGTTATGGAACTCGACTGTCAAGGCTATTTTATTCACTTAAACATTGGATGAAGTGATTAAGTTATCTTTAATACAGATTATGGCAATGTACTTTTCGATGAGTCCGCTATGTTAGCAATAATAACATTACCTGCTTGACGGATGGTAATATCTACAACGGACACGAGCGCTGTCGCGGTGCGACCACAACAGCTTGAAGTTGTCTAATTTGGCACGGTCTCCCTGCTGCACTGATAGTAGTAAGGCTGTGTATACTTGCCCTTACAAGTACAATTTTAGCTGTATTATTTGTGTCCTCTTCAAAAATTGCTCTTGATCAATTGTTTATTGTAATTTATGCCCCTGGGAGTTTGGTCTTTTTGTTTAAAGAAATTAAACAATTGAGTGGTTTAAATGGATTTAGGAGAATAAAGAATACGGCAAACGGTAAGAGATATTTTTTTTGTAATCAGTTTGAACTATTTGCAAATAATAGTTTTATTTTAAAACAAGCATCTAAGTAAGTGTGAATTTGTGTATAATGTGCATGTTGAAAACACAAAATGGCTAAATGATTCTTGTCTTGCCACATTCAGTTATGAATTACATGAAACATGTAAATGATTCATCCTATATTTTCAATTCAAAATGGCAAAATCTGTCAAAAAAGTTGAGCAGTTTGGTCATTTAAATTTCTATTGTAAAACAGTTGTCAACTAATAAATAATTTAAAACAAGTTTCACTGTTTTGATGTCATTTTCAGATTCTTTTTTAAATTGTGCTTATGCTATCTTTGTTTATATTAAATATCACTTGCTTAATATTTAGTTTTATAATGCAGTGGTCCAAGTAGTTTTTGGTAAAAATAAATATGTATTTTAATAGTTAAACCCACTTTGTGATCAAAACAGCCTTTTAAAAGCATCATGGTCTGTTTGGAAGCCCTAAAATAATTTTTTGTAACTTTTTGGCATCCTAATAACAAACAGCAGCAATTTGGCCATTTATAATTATATATATAATATGATGGTTACAGCCTGGTTTGCAGTAAAAATGGTGCAGGATCAGATCAAATTAACATAACATTTTATTACATATCACTATGATATCAAATCAGAATGAATCAGAGAGACAAAAACAAACACAGCAGCTCAGTATGAAATTCCCATCAGGGCCTCACTAATCCATGGTACATTTTTCACTGGCACAATGATAAAACTTCCACATCCCTCACACAGTTAAAAACTCATTGGCCAGCGGCCCAGTGGCCACATATGGGATTGATTTCACTTTTTTCAGGGCTTTGTAAACATTCGTCATTACTTCATGTGACAATGCACAGAAACTGCTGTACGGACGGCCAGCAGAACAACATCACTTATATGACCCCACGAAACACTGGGGTCTGCAATAATGGATCTTTCTCTGACACTTAATATATCCATCCAGGTTTGTGTGTGTGTGCTCACATATGCTGCCAGGTTTCATAACTACATATTCTGACTTGCATAAGCAGATTCTTACAAAAGTCTTTTTTGGCCAGAGCATGGAAGTGTATGATGATCTATAATGATTTATTGGCCGAGGTTCATGAAACAGAGACATTTTCCATCTTTTTAAGAGTGCCTGAACAGATGCGGTAACTATACATCTTCTTAATGGTGTATATGAGCTCTTCATTTCGAGTATTTGAAGAAAAACTATCTATAAGGCACTGCAGTAGAAAAGACAAAAATACATTTGAAACGATCTTTTGAATCTCTGGATGCTATGGTTAAAATCCAAACACTAAAATTAGGTTTCAAATAACATATACATAAAAAACTGCACAATAACGTCCCCTAAGAATCCAAAATAGTTTAGATCACACAGACAAATTATAATTTAGAGGAAGCCAGTCAGCCGCAAATTAGACAGTCAGCTTTGAGGAATTCCAAACAAACCAGGATGCTTTTAAAAGGCTGTTTTGATCACAAAGTGGCTTCAACTGTAAAATACAATATTTATTTTGGTTTAAAGTTATAAAATACCTGAAATTGCCCCATAAACCACTGCATTATATAACAAAATATCAAGCCAAGTGGTAGTAACATAAAGAAAGATACCATAAGCAACCTTTTTGAGAAAAACATTTCACAAAAAAGACGTTTGTACAGTAAGTGATAAGGTTTCCCGTTCAAAAGTAATGTGCCAATTTGTGGTTGTCAAATATTAGTGGATCTCATGTTCTTTAATGTGATGAACAAACCTGCGATTACTCTGCGAGGACATCTATGTGAGCTTGAGGAGAAATTATATCATACATCCACTAAAAATCACCAGTTGAATTTGGTACTCTGGGTCTAGCCACTTATTTAGGGCCCGAGCACCGATGGTGTGAGGACCCTATAGGAATTGCTACGTTTCTTATTATTAGGGCCCAAGCACCGATGGTGTGAGGACCCTATTGGAATTGCTCCGTTTCTTATTATTAGGGCCCGAGTACCGATGGTGTGAGGACCCTATTGGAATTGCTCCTTTTCTTATTATTAGGGCCCGAGTACCGATGGTGTGAAGACCCTATTGGAATTGCTCCGTTTCTTATTATTAGGGCCCGAGCACCGATGGTGTGAGGACCCTATTGGAATTGCTCCGTTTCTTATTATTAGGGCCCGAGCACCGATGGTGTGAGGACCCTATTGGAATTGCTCCGTTTCTTATTATTAAGGCCCGAGTACCGATGGTGTGAGGACCCTATTGGAATTGCTCCATTTCTTATAGGGCCCTAGCACCGATGGTGTGAGGACCCATTTCGAATTGCTTCGTTTCTTCATTTTTGAGGGTCTAAACATGCTCCAAAACTCATGAAACTTTGCACATGCGTCAGAACTGGTCGAAATTTACATCTGCTATGTGTTTCAGAAGTGGGTGTGGCAAAATGGCTCGATAGCGCCACCTGTACACATTCAAAGGGTGTTTTCCTGATGTAACTCAGGTATGCAGTGTCCAATCTGCCCGAAACTTAACATGTTTGATGAGAGTCCTAGCCTGAACACATCTACATGCCAAGATTCAGTTATAGTCATAGCACTATTAGCAACACAGTCAGGGCTGGACTGGGACCAAAAAATCGGCCCTGGCATTTTTTGGTCCAGGCAGCCCACCACAACTTCGTTCACTGGACAGTTCACTTTGAAAGTGTCGCAAAACCGGCAAGAAGCAAAGTAACATCATTTTGTAGAAATGAACATAGACGTGAAAGTGCACTATTCAAACTTAAATTGTTATAATTCATAAACACTTTTGAATACAGACCTAAGGTTGGTCTCTTTTTAAAGAAGACAATCTGTAGATGAATTCAGTAGTGAAATAATTTCAAAAAATGAAAGCATAAAAAAGTTATAGAAGTTTAAATTTACTGTAAAGAAAATGTACTGTACTATTTTTATTTTATTTTATATAAAATAAATATTTTATAAAATAGGTTTTAATCCAAAATTGCTATAAAATTAAAGCCATATGTGTAAATAAGTTGTGTTCCAAATTTGAAGTTGATATAAAAAAAAAATTAAAGGTCCCATATTGTCAAAACTGAAATTTCCTGGCTTTTTTCACGATTACTGAG